ATTAGATTTGCATTATTTTTAGAGTTTAGAATTATGGAATATATTAAAAAGTCTAAAACCATATGCAAATGAAAATTTTAATGCCTGTAATTTGATAATAATGTTGAATATATTTAAGAGTTGAAAATATCATTAAAAATCCCTGAGGAAATATATTAATCAAAATATTTATTCATAATGTTGTGCCATGTTAAATACATAAGGATTAAGCCAACTTGTTTATAATTCTGTTCTGAGTAGAAAATCAAATAACTAGAAATACATTACACTAAATTTATTCTGCTTTACATAAAAAAAAGTAAATGTTAATCAGAATAGAAGTAATTAAGAAATACTAATTATTCTCAGGTTTTCAACTCTACCATTTATTTTGAAGCATGCATAAGCATGAAGGATTTAGAAAATATGAAATCAGTTTGCAATGGGAAAATGCTTAGGATTTTACAACATTTTCAAACTTCAGTCAGTATCAACATCTATAGTTTAAAATACAACTGTGTTCAAGTAATATTTCCTTAACTTAATATAAATATATTTGACTGTAATATATAAATGTACAAATTATATATTATGTTGATTAAAAATATATAAAAAGCATAAATTGAAATTATACACTATGATCTTATACAACTTGCTTTTTTCTTTTGGTGGTTTGCTTCTAAGATTCTTCCATATTCTTGTATGGGGATGTAACTCATTTCATACTATTTACTCTCGTATTATGAATGTATGCTCAGATTGTTCTCAGAGTCTTGGTCCAGGGAACAGGATGCCATGAATATTCCTGCACCCACCCCCAAGTGCACATATGCAAGGTTTTCTTTAGGATATTAAATTTCAAGTGAAATTTCTGGAGAGATGAGGATTTTACTAGACAATGTCATATTATTTTTCAAGTTAGTTTAACATGTCTATAAACCCACACATAGAGTTCCTATTACTGTATGTCATTTTTGACACTGGGTATTACAGATTTCATTTTTGCCAATTTAATGAGTAAAATAAGTTACCTCACAGAGTCTTAATTTTCATTTTTCTTACTAATAATTAAATTTAACATGTTCTCTTTTGCTCATAGGCAGTTCATATGCTTGCCTCTATAAAATGTCAGTTCATACTTTTTTTTCCCCATTTTCTATTAGGTTCTGGATATTTGAAGAATATTTGTGGTATATTTTAATATTGAGTCCTTGATCAGTTGCATGAATGTAGATATCTTGTCCCAGATGGTGACTTATATTTTCTGTTCCTTTGTAGTGTCTTTTAATAAATAGAAGTTTTTCATTTTTCATGTTTTTTATTTTTAAAAAAGTAACCCAGCAAAAAGTTCATTTTAGTGTATTTAAATTTATCAATACTTTCTTTTATGGTAACAGTTATTGCCACTTGCTGAAGAGATACTTTCCTATCCCAAGATCAGAATGCTTTACTTGAATATTTTCTTTTAAGATGTTTGTTTATTATTATCCCTTTTCTAAGTGTTTGTGTGTAATTCCTAGAAATATAGATATTCTCTTACATACACCCAATATGGTATTTAGATGAAAAAAATTAACATTGATACAGTACTTTTTAATCTATTGAATTTATTTGTGTTCTACTGTCTTTGATTTTTTTGAAACCAGCCTTTTTATTTTGGGAGTTGCAGATTCACATGCATTTGGAAGAAATAATACAGAGAGATCTTGTATACTCTTTATCTACTTTCCTTCAATGGTAACATCTTATAAAACTAAAGTACAAAAATCCTAAAATACAGTGTCACAGTCCTCAGTGGTCTCAGTCAAGGTGTAGAAAAGTTTCATCACCACAAAAAGCATTAGTGTTGCTCTTTTATAGTCATATCCACTTTTTGCTCTCTATTCCACTCTCCTTAATCTCTAATTGTAGACAACTACTATTTTTTTTTCTCCAGGTGTATAATATTGTCATTTCGAGATTGTTACTTAAATGAAATCATACTGTATTTAACTTTTGTGATTGACTTTTACATTTGGCATCTTTATCTTGAAATTCATCCAAGCTTTTGCATGGATCAGTAGTTATTTTTTTTTTTTTTTTTACTGAGTAGGTGTTAATTCTTTTTTTAAATATTTGGTAGAATTCTCCAAAGACCATCTGGACCTGAGGATTTCTTTTTTGGCTTACCAGTTCAGTCTTTTTAATGGTTATGGGGCTATTCAGATTATTTCACCTTAATTGATAGTTTTGGTAGTTTGTGTTTTTTGGACTTGTTAAATTTATGAGCATGAAGTTATTTATAACATTCCCCTGTGGTATTTTTAATAACTGCATGATCTGTGGTAAGATCCTCCATTCCATTATTTTTAATATTTTTTATTTGTATCTTTTCCCTTTTTATTTTTGTCAAACTTGCTAGATACAGTTTTATCAATTTTACTGACTTTTTAAAAAGAATTTCCTCTTTGTTTCATGATTTTCTGAATTGTTCTACTTTCATTTCATTGATTTCTGCTTTTGTTAGAGGAAACACACTGACTGAAACCTCCCACCCTGGCCAGGCATCAGGGTTATTTTATGACAGGAGGTCCCAGTAAGGAACTAAGCCACCACCCATTGAAAGAGTTAAGAAGAGGTCAAAAGGAGACACCCTGTGTCCTACCACCTCTAAGGTTTCTTCTTGATGGCTTCCATCTTGGCTGAACTGATGCATGCACGACCAGGAAGGACTCTGTGTCAGAATGATTGGCTAAAGATAACCCAGAAATTAATCCCATCACCATAAAACCTGAGAATGTAAGCCATGTGGCAAAGCAGTTCTCCTGGGTTGCCTTACCCTCCTGTTCTCTGCCCAGACACCCTTTCCCAATGAAGTCTCTTGCTTTGTCAGCATGAGTGTCTCCTTGGACAATTCATTTCCAAGTGTTAGAGCCCCCTTTTGGACCCTGGAAGGGGTCCCCCTTCCTGCAACTCTTTTATCTTTATTATTTCCTTTATTCTTCCTCTAGCTTTGAGTTTCTTAGATTTTTTTAACTCTACTTTTTTGAGTTAGAAACAGATAATTAATTTGAGACATTTCCTCTTTTATAATGCAAGCATATAGAGCTATAAATGGCCCTCTCAACACTACTTTAGCTGTGTGCCACATATGTTGATATGTTATACTTTCATTTTCACTCAATTCTATGTATTTTTATTTTGAGACTTCCTCTTTGACCTGTGGATGATTTAGAAATGTTGTTCAATTTCCATGTGTTTAAGAGGTTTTCCTGTTGTCTTTTTGTTACTGATTTCTAGTTTGATTTGATTATGGCCAGAGAATGCATTACTTTTTGTTTCACATTAGGGATCAGACCTAAGTCCCCTTCTGTTCAGTAGGGAATGGTAAAATGTCCTGCCACTATGCTCTTCCTTCAATCCTGGTATCTTGAACTAGTTTATGTTTCTGTTTTCCCCTTTAAGAGTTATGCTTTCATTGTATCTTGCATTATTTTCATGGTTTATAGTTGTTGTTAGCAGTGAAAAGCAGGGGGAGAGATAAGTCTGCTCCATCTTGTCTTGAGTGGACGTCTTGTCATCAAATTTTGCTTTCAAATCGTATTAATAATGTTGAAATTACCATCAATTTTTTTATGTAGAGACAAATAGGAATCCTGTTTCACTTGAGTTTGTTGCTGAGTCCAAACTTGCTCTACTTGTCCCATAAGAATCTGAGAGATGAGGTGTTGAGGCAAGAAATAATGACTTTACTCGGAGAGCTGGCTGACCTAGAAGGTAGCAGACTAATGTCTCAAAATAACCACTTGTTGGGGTCTGGATGCCAGGTTCGTCTATGGATTAGAGATGGAGCGGGGAGGTGAGGAAACAAAAAGGACATCTAATCTGCAAATATCTCCCAGAATAACAAGCCTCAGGCAGGGTGATGTTTTAGTTTCTTTCTTCCTGCCATCTACAGATGAACAGGGTTCTGAACAAAGGCACTTTAGATGAACTAGGCAGGGGGCAGGACTCTCTGAGGCAGGCAATTATGTATGATTATAATAACAAACATAGCAAAAAACAAGGGTTAAAATCAAAGAAACAGATTTAGCATGGAAGAGTCAAAGTTGACTCTTCCTTGTTACAGTTTCACTCAGATAACTGCGTATTTCAGTACACTTTTTTATATGGCTCTTCTTTTTCCCAGTGGTCTTCAAATACTGGCTCAGTCATTTAGGTGGTTTCTGTATATACCCTGGATTTGCTTTTGGACATCTTTAATGTTCCATTGGTGAATTTGTTTACTTCTGTGTCAGTACCTTTTTTTCTTTTTTGTAGTAAATTTGATATGTAACATTGTGTAAGTTTAAGGTAGGCAAAGTGTCACTTGTGTTACTTTGATACAATTATATATTGTGATTTGATTTCCAGTACAGAAATATTTATCATATTACCTTGTTACAGTACACTAGTATTTTCTATATTCATCGTACTGTGTATTAATTAGATCTCTATGTCTTATTTACTACTCATTAAAGTTTGTATTCTTAACATCATACTTTCAGTTCACCCTCCATCCCCTGGTAACCACTATTTTACTTCCTTTTTTAATAAAGTTTTAACTTTTTTAGATTCTATATATGAGTGATAGCATACAGTTCACTGTGCTTTTAAATTATTACAGTTTTTAATAAGTTTGAATATACCTTAGGATGGTTTCCTCAACCCTGTTCTTCAGAAGTGTTTTGCTTTTCTGTAAAATTTAAAATAGGTTTGCCAAGTTCCTAAAAACTTTTTTCTTAAGACCTTTATTAGCATAGCTGTGGTTTTATAGATTTATATAGAGATAAGCGGCATCTTTATGATATTGAGTGTCTCAATGCATAAATGAATGTGGTTTATCTCCCCATATATTTGGTTTTTACATCTTTTAAAACATTTTTATACTTTTTCCATACAGATCTTATACATGTTTTTGTTAAATACCTTGTAATTTTTCTAATATAAATAATATTTATAAGTAGTTAAAGTAAATAACTTGTCCCTTTGTTGGCTTTGAGGCCTCAAACAGAGATCAAGAGGGCATCTATGAGCTCAGAGCAAGATCAACCCTCTGTCCAACTCCACGCCTCCATCCTCAGGAGTGGAGAGGGAACTCTCAAACTTGGAATAAGATCACAGCTCTTCAAGACACCATTGACAGGAGACAACAAAGTTCCCAAGCACTCCGAGTAAGACCGCCCATTTACAGGACATACTACCTCTGTCAGCAGGAGGCAAAGGGGAGATTTTGAGTGCTTCTGGGCCTCTTCTCTCCCAAACCTCTTTCTTCAACACCCATATACTTTATCCTGTTCTTTTTAGTCTTCTTAAGGAGCCTATAACTCCTGGTTCATCACATATTCCAAAACTCTAACCCTACCTAAGGCTCCTTATGTCATGTTTCCTTACTCAATCTCTTAGTCTCCTTTTCTGATTCCCTAATTTTTCACTGTGTACTCCCTGGAATTCAAGATCTTTGATCAGCAAAATCCACTCTATTTTCAGCTTGTACTATGTCCCTTCACCTTCTGTGCTAATAGAAATTAATCTTTTCCATGCTTATAGTTTCTCCTACAGCCAGCAGACTTCTGGTAAATGTTTAATGATCAGCTCTTTGAAGGGGAGGAAATAAACCTTGATTTGTAGTATTTTCCAGTTTCTGTGCTTTATATACTCAGGCTACTATCTTACTTCACCAAATGTGAGGTTGAGAAGTGACATCCATAGTCAGCTTTCTTGACATAGCTCATGTCTACCGTGATCTGTAGCAGTCTCAAGGGTGATTTCTCTGATTCCCCACTAAGCTACAGCATTGGACCTGCAGGTGACATAATTGTCCCCTTTGCATCTCATTGCTGCTTTCAGTCCCTTCTCCTACCCTCATTAATGAATACACTTTACCTGGAATCTCATATCATCAGTTTATTGTACTCAATAATAGCTATTTCAGGCACTTCTTAATTTTTTTTTCTTTACTTCTTTTGTAAAATGAAAAAAGTAGTCACTGTGACATTGTCACGTCTGTAAAAATGATTCCTGCTATAATTCTTATTTAGATATTCACATGGATGATCCTTCAAACACTCTTTCAGTTCTTCAGCAGCTGCTGCTTTAAATGATCTTGTTCTCCATCTATTCTCAGTCACTCACTTTTTGGTCATTCTCTAGGCCTTGTTATTGCCAGTAACTTAAATAATTTGTCATTTCGTTTGCTGTTTGCTCCTCATCTCCCTGACCTCTGTATATTGAGGTTTTTCTGGGATCAGTTCTGGGGCCTCTTCTCTTTTGATGTCCTTACTCCCTAGGTTGTCTCACCCAGTCTCATGACTTTAAATTACCTATATGTTAGTGACTCATTAAGTTATATCTTCACCAGAGATCTCTTTTCTGTCCTCTGGTTTTATATATCCAACTGCATGCTCAACCCTCCAACCCTCAACCCTTCCATTCTGAGTCTACATTAAGGCTCTATCTCCTGCAATTTTCTCCATCTTAAGGAAACTCTGTCCTTCCAGTTCCTCAACCAGAAACCTCTGGAGTTACCCTTGAGTCATTTCTCTCTCAGACATTTTACATCAGATATGAAAAATTATTTTGGTTGTATTTTGAAACATATACACTCTTCCATCTTTTCTTACCACCAGCAGTGTTTCTCTCTGTTTTTCTTCTTCATCATGTCTAACCTGGATTACTACAATAGCTCCCCAACTGGTCTTTCTGCTTTTTTTCTTTCCTTTCCTTCAGTCTTTGTTGACTGTAGTAGCCAGAGTGATCCTCCTAAAACATAAATCTATCCATTACATATCTCAGTTGAAAACTTTTAGTGGTTTTCTATCTTTTTCAGAGCTATAGGAAAGTCATTATAGCCTCTGAGGTCCTACATTTTCTGGCTCCTTTTTAACCTCCCTGACCTCATCTTCACTTGCTGGACCGTCTTTTACTCAATTGTAGACACACTCGCCTCCCTGTTTGAAGAATACTGTAGTCATGCCCTGCCTCCAGGCTTTTACACTTGAGATTTTATCTGTCTAAGTTGTCTTCTCTCAGAAATTTGAATGGCTCATGCCCTCAACTCCTTTAGCTCTTTAATTAAATGTCTCCTTTTAGAGAGACTTTCCATAGACATCCCATCTAAATTTTAATTTAGATTTAATTAAAATTCCCTTTTCCTTCCTGGATCTCTTTCCTGCTTTTTTTTTTTTCCTCTTACATATCTGCCTCTTACATTCTGTGTTGTACTTATTAACTTACTGTACTCTTTCCCTACTAGAATGTAAGCTCCATGAGAGCAGAAATATTTGCCTGCTTTATTCACTTTTGTATTCTCAGTACCAAAAATGTGACTGGCCAATAGTAAGTACTCCATAAATATTTGTGTTTGAATCAAGGAATACCTATGTATACCTATGTAGGAATATACATAGGAATACCTATGTATACCTATGTAGGAATATATGTTCTGTTAGTTGTTTTTACATAGAAATGAAATTGATTACTGTAAGTCAATTGTAAACATAGAGACCTTGCTAAACTCTCTACTGTAATAGGTTTCTTTAAAAAAAATTCCTTGTAAATAATGATATCACCTATAAACAGTGATAGTTATGATTTTCCTTTTCTGATCTTGGAAAATTTGATGTGTATTTCTTATTTTTGTACATTGTTTAGGACTTCTAGAGAATGGTTAAATTGAAGAGATTGGAATAGGCATTCTTATCCTGTTTGTTTTTTCCTAAAATGAAGAAATATTTCTCATGTTTCAACATAAAAAATGATATTTTTTATAAATCTTTGGTAGATATTCCTTCTTAGGTTAAAAAATTCCCTCTACTTCCACATTTTCCAAGTTCATTTGTGTTTTATCATGAGTTAACATTAATTTTGTTTTATCATAAATGAATGGTGAATTATTTTTTATCATGTTTAAAAGTTTTATCATGAATGAATGCTGAATTTTCTGCTTCTGAGATGATCTTCTCCATTAATGTTTTAATGTGGTAAATGACATGCTAGACTTTCTAATGTAACATTCTCTTTCATTCTTGGGATGAAACTAGCTCATTCATCATGTGTTATATGATTTATATATATCACTGGATCTAGTTCATTGTTTTATACTTAGGATGTTTCTATATTTTGAATAAAACTGACCTTTAATTTTCCTTTTTAGTCAGTCTTTTTATAATTTTGGTATTATAAAATGGATTGCAGATATTTCCCGCTTTATCTCTTGAGTTTTTATATCTACCTTAAATGTGTGCATAGAAGTCTTAGGTGAAACTAATAGGAGCTGCTATTCATATTTTGGATTCTATGGATTCATATTTTTTAGCATAATAGAATTCTAGCAGTTATTGCTTCTTGAATCAATTTTAGTAAATCATTAAGTAATATATTTACATGAATATAACCATTTTGTCTAAGTTTCAAATTTATCAGCATAAAGATATTTGTTACATTGTTTATTTTTTAAATCTCTAATGAATCCACAGTTATATTCTCTTCTTGTTTTTGATATCTATTTATCTTCCTCCTTTCTTAAAGTTTCCCTGCTGAGAACACTCTCCCTCATCTCTCATTGTTCTTCCTTGAGATTTAGGAATTTTATTGGTATTTTAAAATAACTTTTAAGTTTTTTGATCCTCTTAAATATATACATAGTTTTTCATTACTTTATGCTTTCATTGTTATGATTTCCTTCTGTCTGTACTTTTTGGGTTTATTCTTTGTTTCTTTTTCCACTTCTTAATTAGGATACATAGTTTATTAATTTTTGGCCTTACCACTATTCTATTTAGTATTATAAAGTTCCTTCTAAATACTACTTTAACTGCTTCTTACACATGTTTCTATGTAGCATTTTAATTTTTGCTCAATCTTAAGTATTTTAAGATTTCCATTATGATTTCTTCAATTCATGGTTGATTTAGAGAATATTTGTAAATTTGCATATGCATGATTTGGGGTTATCTTTTTAGGTTATTATAGATTTCTAGTTTAAATAAGTCATCATCAGAGCATGTAACCTGTATTGTCAGTTCTTAAAGTATGGTGGGAGTTGTTATGGCAGAGATCACTAGTTCTCCACCAAAACATATTTTATTTATTCCATGTTTTTCATGATATTGCTAGTGTTGTAGTTAGACTATATTTCTCAGCTTCCTTCCTACCTATATGTGACAATAACACTAAATTTTGCCAATGGAATAGGCACTTACGTGGTATGTGCCTATGAATTATTTTTTAGAGATACTTACATTTTCCCCTCATTTTCAAGGAAGGATACTATTTTGATCATTAATACAGAGCTTGATTATATACCTGTGTATATTTTGGAGAATTGTAAGTTGATCATCTGACACGACAGGACTGGATGTTCATCCACACTTTGGTTCACTCTCTTGTACCTGTGCCATGGAATGAGAAAAAAAATGTCTCAGCTAACCTCTGATTCAGTGAAAGGCATGAAGATCAGTGCTGCTGTAACTGGGCTTAGCCAATATCAGTTCATCTCCAACTGACCCACAATATATGAGCCAGATAAATCTTGCTGGATACCACTGAGATGCTGTGGTTGCTTTTTTATGACCCTGATACAATGCCGCTACTATGGTCTGGTCCTTAAAGGAGCATCAGGCTTGAACTGCTTTATATTCCTTTATCTTCAGTTTATGTGGATCAAGGAAGTGCCTGTAATCCATCTGACTGTGCAGACAGACCAAGACAGTATTCTAAATGGATGCACCAAAAAGAAGAGGAATCCTGATCCATCATGCTCAGCTGTGCATGGACTTTGGTCACTCACTTTGGGAGAAGTACTTGTGGGAGGATTATTGTCTATTTGTGTCAGTCCACCCTTTTTGAAATCTGCCAGCTTTAGCAGCTTAATTTTTATCCTAATATACAAGTTCTCTGGGGCTTCACAGGTGATTCAGTGCAAAGAATCTGCTTGCCAATGCAGGAGACCCAGGAGGCATGGTTTCAATCCCTGTGTCGGGAAGATCCCCTGGAGGAGGAAACGGCAACCAACTACAACATTCTTGCCTGGAGAATCCCATGGACAGAGAAGCCTGGCAGGCTACAATCCATGAAGTTGCAACGAGCCAGACATGACTGAGCATGCATGTGTGTGGGCACAAGTTCTTTATAAACTAGAATATGATCCATTTTTGTAACAGTATGTACTTGAGAAGAATCTTTTTTCTAATTTTGGAGTTGAAAATTTCATATATATTTAATACAATTTGATTTTTGTATATTCAAATCTGAAATCTGTATCTGTATTATATTTTGGTAAATATCAATACTTGAGTAAACTGATGGATTTTTCAGTCTTTTCCTGAAAGTTAATCAATTTTTACATTAAACAGATTTAATCTTTTTATTAGATGCTTAAAAGTTTAGAATTGTTATATTAACTAGATGAACTAAAGCATCACTTGTAGTAATTTTTTTTTCTATTTTTTCTTCTTAAAATTTTTATAAATTTTAAACCAACCTTAGTAATCAGTACTGTCCCTTTAATTTTCTTCCAATGTTTTTATACACATATATACAGTATATATTTAAGTTAGTATTGGAATGACTTTAAATACATTTCTTCAAGTAAAATGTTAATTTATATTTTTGCACATTTTATATACCTTTGTACATTTATTTTTCATCTAACATCATAAGCCTTTCTCATGACAGTATATTGATATATTCTTCAGACCAGCATATTTGATACCCTTATAGTACTTCATTATTTGTATTTTTTGTTAAGATTTTATCTCCTTGTTTGTACTCAGTTTGGTTATTTCCATTATTTTATTGTTTTAAATAATTCCATGAGGTCAGTCCTTATACATAAATGCTGTGTTCATGTCTCTGACTATTTCTTCAGAATAGAACTCAAGAATTGGCATTCTTGGGTCAAAGATTACAAAAAGATGTTTGTTCTAGACTTTGTTTTGAAAGTGAAATATATATATTTTTTCCAATTATTACCCAAGACATTTATTACAAATGTCATGAACATATTCATAAAGTAAAACTGGTTTAAAAAACAGAGCGCGCAGAGAGAGCAAGGGAGAGCACTGGAGAAGCCAGGGCTCTGATATCACACCCGAAATGCAGGAAGATGCTATCTTATGAATGAGCAGAATTCACTACATTCTTAAAATAGTTTTAGTGCATTGCATTTTTAGAAAAAGGGAAACACCCCCAGCCCCAAGGAAAGGTTCCGGCAACACTGTCGACAGTTTGTGGGGTTGTACCCCATATGACCACCTGTCTGCAAACTCCGAGCTGAGAACAGCGAGGCCCCGTGTGCTGTGGGCAATGGCCGCCTGTCCGTACACCACCACCACTGATGAGAGTGAAATATAAAGAAATTCATTTTAAAGTTTGCGGCTCTCATTCATTTTTATTTTACACACTTTCTTCTTTACTTCAGATTCCTCTGTTTATCAAAATGCTTTGTCTGTGGTCCATTTGCAATGATACAGCTACTTTATTTTTCTTTGATTAGTATTTGCTTGGTACTTTTTTAAATCTATTTTTAACATTTATCAGGTATGTTTAGTTGTCTCTGATAAATAACATATGCAATCTTTAGTTGGTGATTTTGTTAATTTACATTTAAGTGTTTTACACTTATTGTGATTATTGATATATTTGCCTTGCTTCTGTTATCTTTTTTGCTATACATGTGTCTAATCTTTTTATGCTTTTATCTTTCCACACTTTAAAATACATTGATTTTTTTTTACTGGGTATTTTTCCTTTTTCTTTTTTTTTAGTGTTTACTCTTAAGAATTTAGCATGTACATGTAATATAATCTAAGCTTAGTTACTTGAGTAACACAAAAGTTTGCAAACCCTAAATAAAAAATTTCCTATTGCTTATTTTTTTTTTTTTTAATCTGGTACTTAGTTCAATTTCTGTTACATAGCAGAACAGGCATTGTTATTTTATAAAGAGAGTTGAGCTTATAAATACAATGCTTGTTTAGATTTGCCTACAAATGTATTAATTTCATTGTTCTGACTGTTTTCATGATTTCATCTTTGCCTTTTTTGTCCAGTGGTTTTACTATAATTGGTATAACATTGTTTTCATTTATCCCATGGAATATGTTATGATTCTCATGTTTAGGTAGCAGGATTTTTTTGTTTGTTTGTTTCTTGAAATTTTTCATTCATTGCTGTAATAAATATTGCCTTTCCTTCATTTAAAAAAAAAAATATCCTTCCTTCCAGGGCTGCAATTAGATATAGGCTATGCTGTCTCATTCTATCTTCCATACTTCTTAACCTCTTTTTTCTGTTTTTCTTTTCTTTTTTTTTATTCTTGACTCTCTGCTGTATTCTCAGAAATTCTTTATTCTTGTTCTCTATATTTGTTGCATTCTCATTTTAAAATCTAGCCTTTGTGTTTTAATATGGGAATTTATGTATTGTCTTTTACTTCTAAAGGCTGCATTTGTTTAAGACCATTCCTGATAATTCTTGATAGTTCCTTGCTGCTTGCACTTGTATATACTTTTTATTTCTGTAAACATTCCTAAGATACTATTTCCATAGCTTATGGGTGGTCTACCATTTAGTCTCCAGATTGCAGTTCTGATTTGGCATATGTCATCATGGCTACTCATTTTTTGCATGTGCTTGCTGCTTATAGCTCATATGTTAGTTCCATAATTTTATCTTTGCCTCCTTTAACTTTTGTGGAATGCAGTTATGCAATAAAATTATATTTTAGTTGGTTTTTAGTTGTTTTCCAGTGGGAGAATCCTTCAGAGTATGTAGTTTAATATATTTCTGAGTCTAGTATTTAATTTTAGCAATTAAACTTCTCCATTTGATATGTCTCTTAGGAGAATACAAGTAAATGACAATCCATTTTTAAACTATGAAGGAAAATAATAATAAATTTTAAGTGCATTTGTTTGAAATGAAAATATTTTATACTCTGTGGATAAGCTGAACCTTTTTTTTGCATTTTAAAAATATATTTATTTATTTTAATTGGAGGCTGATTACTTTACAGTATTGTAGTGATTTTTGCCATACATTGACATGAATCAACCATGGTAAACTGAAATCTTAATTAGAATAGTCCTAGAAGGGATGAGAGATGGGAAAGGATTAATATATATAATACATATTATTGGTAA